CTGCTGTTAAGAAGGTCTGTTACTGAGACAGGCTTAATTCTCTTAGATCCAACTGAATATTTCATTATCAAGGTTTATTCCTGTACCAAGCTCATGGTAGCTGACCCATGTCTTCTTCTACCCTCAAGTCCCACAAGGAGGGAAAATCAACTTTCTAGCTCAGAATTCTTCCTGAGGAATCCCTTACTATTCAGAGAGCTAAGAGTAGTAGTTGCTCTGACCTCAACGGGATTGATGTGACTTCACTCACCTCCTGTCTAAAACCAACAACTGACCTAACTCAGAACCTGTGAGGAAGCACTAACTTTGCCTCTGTCTGAAAAATATTACTGACCCAGTCTGGACATTAATTCAGTGCTGTGATTTCAAGCTTTGTCTTTGAGCATGTTTTAGCCTTTATATAATCTGCCCTTTGAAGTAAGGTAATGACTGAGTATCCTGATCCAGGTTCTGGCAGTTCCAGATCTTTCTTACATTTTCCTAGAGATGCAAGACAGACATTGAAGTGGCCAGCTGGGGATTTCCCCAGCCTACAGGTAGCACAAGTAAATAGCCATGTCTTTACATTGCAAAGAGTAACAGTATGGCCTGGCTACATGAAGAAGCAGAACAAACTGTGTGAATAGTTGGAGACTGACAGGTTTGCGAGAGGGATACAAAGTTTATCTCCAATGTACCATAGAAATATGTAAAACTCCATTTCTGTAACATTATTGTTGGTCAATCAGTTTACTTCTGTAAACAGATTAGTAACAACAGCATGTTTAGTGAGTTACAAATTATGCTATAAAGCAAGCTTGAATTCTTAGAGGATTCATCATCACAGTAATTTCCATTTTTAAGAACATATATTTCTAGAACATGTTGCAATGTGTTTATTTATTAAGCCTGAAACTGCAAGATGCAAAGATCTCATATAAAAGCATTCCATGTCCTCAATTGCTTATAATGGGTGTTAAAGGAGTTTACTTATTTCAGGGCAACAACCTCTTTCATAAAAGCTGATGTTCACATTCAGAAAAATGTGCTGTTCAAATCAGTGTTACAAAACTTTAAAACTTGAATGCCATAATAGTAAACACAATGCATGAAATAGTTCTTCATATTTTCCCTCCTGTGTTCATTTCTTTTAGTGCTGGAGTCGGCAGGACTGGCTGTTTCATTGTGATAGATGCCATGTTAGAGAGAATAAAGCATGAAAAGACTGTAGATATTTATGGCCACGTAACTCTAATGAGAGCGCAGAGGAATTACATGGTTCAAACTGAGGACCAATACATCTTTATCCACGATGCACTGCTAGAAGCAGTGACATGTGGAAATACCGAAGTGCCAGCCAGAAACCTGTATGCATATATCCAGAAGCTGACACAAATAGAAACAGGCGAGAATGTCACAGGAATGGAACTGGAATTTAAGGTACTGGAATTTTATATTGTGGGAAGCCAAACCAAATGGTGTAACACTTAATGCTGCTCTGTCCTCCACCAGTTGTTCCCAGTAATCAAAAGATAAGACATCAGCAGGCTAAAATTTTAAATTAGGGAGACAATCCCATGTGAAATGTACAATTCCATCCTCGGTGTCCAGACAAGAACCATTCATTGAGGGTGGTTTAACCCTGCTGTTCCTTTATTGTTTGTATAGCTTGAAATGTATGTTTGTGTAATGGTTTAATCAGGTTTAATACTCAGATTTGTCCATATGCATTAGTGGAGCAGACATTAAACTTTTATAAGGTGTTAAAAGAAGCTTTACAAATATTTAGGTAATGCAATAGAACATGGAAAAATAAGCATCTGAAATTGAAATTATTCATTAATGATTATTAGCAGAGATCATGAAATCTGATAGTGTCATTTGTTTTTGTTATACCTGTCCTTAATTATTTTATTTTTAACAGCGTCTTGCTAGCTCTAAGGCTCACACTTCAAGATTCATCAGTGCCAATCTTCCATGTAATAAATTCAAAAATCGCCTTGTCAATATTATGCCATATGAGTCTACAAGGGTATGCTTGCAACCAATCCGAGGAGTAGAAGGCTCTGACTATATTAATGCCAGTTTTATTGATGGATACAGGTATTTATGTTGATGTGTTCTCATTAGACTGTTTTAAAAGTTTACAAAATTACATATGTAATTTTATTGAAAATAATCTAGTATTGAAATTTATTTTTTATCATCAATGCATGCTATGGTTGACTGGGAGGTTTTTTAAATATTAATGAAAGGTTTAGATTTTCAGCCATACAATACAGGAAAATTCTGTAAATATCATAGAGTCTTAAACACTATATTTTTACCTACCTTTAAACCATTGAAAACTACCAATATGTTTTGCATGCTGAACTTTACTGAGATTTTAAGTACATAATTTGGAATGTCTGTATTTTCATACCTATTGATTTAAAAGGATACGTAGAAATAGTTTATAGGAGATACACTCTTTGTATCGAGGTGATAACCTGTGAACTTGGAACACTCGTTAAGACTAGACCTAGCTTGCGAAAGCAATTTATACATAAACAGTTGCATAGCCCACCATCATCTTCATAACAACACAGAGCAATATGCCCTTAGCTGATTTAAGCAGCTGGTAGAAAAAGGCATGAAAGAGAAGCAGTTTAGTTTCCATAAGGCAGTTTAGGCATACCTGAATATCCATATCTGCAGAGGTCATTTTCTGAGCCTTAGCTCATAATTGGAAACTACCTTCATCTTCACTGTCACCCACAAAGGTGTTTGTGTTGATTGGAAGAAGCAAGACAATGTGAACTGGTCATCATCTTATAAAGCTGCTGATCAGAAGCTTTTAAGAACTTTGTGGTATCTTCTAGTAGGATATTAAGACCTGGAAATGCAGTGCATTCCATTCCTGAATTTTCTTCGCTACTTACTTTTGCTGGAGGCATCAGACTGTTGAAAAGGAGTTCATAAAGAAACTGCATGTTGCTATAATTTCTAAACTTAATAGATTGTTAGACAGTTATTTCTACAAAATGAGCCAACACAACTAAGTGGTTTTTAAGTACTTTTTACAGCACACAAAATTAGGCTATTAGAGTTGCATTAAAATTTAAATAATAATGATAAAGACATATATCATAATATTAACAGAGTAATTTCCCTCTCGAAGTTCTAAAAATAGAAAGCCACAGTTTGATTAAACAATCATAATGAGATTTTAATGTGCTTATTTTTAATAGTATATAAAGTTTTCCTCTTGATAATGTTTACATATAAACATAACGTGTATCAATTCACTTTTTTGATTAAAATATTATTCTTAATTTACTTTTTTTTCCAATATAGACAACAAAAAGCTTACATAGCTACACAGGGTCCCTTAGCAGAAACAACTGAAGACTTCTGGAGAATGCTCTGGGAGCACAATTCTACAATTGTGGTCATGCTCACTAAGCTACGAGAAATGGGCAGAGTAAGTAGTGCTGTAATAATCCTTTCCTACAATGTTATAATGATTTTCCATTAAAATATTTCACTGTTGGAATGTCTGAAGAAAAAGGTGAAGATTTAGGTTCCTTCTTTTTAAGTATCGGTGGCATTGGTTAGTCACCAGGTGTTAGGTTTTCTAATTTGTAGATGTGTTGAAAAAGACAAGCTAGACAAGGCATTTTGTTGTGGGGTACACTGAGATTCAGCAGCTGAGTTTGCATTTTGATATTCCAAAGTATGCAGAGAGACCACTGCTGTCTATTGAAAAACAAAGATTTCTTATTCGTAAACTTCACTTTTGCAGCATCTGTTTTTAACTATGGTAGAAGAAAGTGTAGTACTTTCAAGATCTGAATGTCTTCTGTGTATTCATAGTGCTGAACTTTAAAGTTGCAGCATCCAGTTCACAGTCCTAAACTCATTCAAGTGCTGCATTATGTAGTGTAAAGAGCAAAGCAGTTTACTATCTGGACAGGATTACGTCAAGATGAAGCCGGAATGTGATAAGTGAAATCTGAGTCAGGCCATATATCAAGGGAATAGAGATGATTCAGGACATGGCTAGTGGTTGCAGAAATAGAGTCTTGACTGAGGCCAAGGGGGAACTGCTTCAGCAGGGAAGAAGAAAGAAAACTGAAGATGGTCTCAAGATTTAAATTCCATTCTGTATGGAAAATCAGGCGAGGAATAGCCCTTATCACTGATAAATAATGGAACTGAGCAGAAGTATAAACAGGTTCAGATATACACTCACCAGAGAGAACCCCTTTGCAATGAAATATTAAAGATCAATTTTATTGTAGGTATGGATCTTCATGTTCACAGTAAGACAAACTTTATGTTCCCGTCACTAATGGCTCTTTCCATGAGTATTACACTTACCTGAGTGAAAAAGGTTTGATACCAATTTATAGCAGTGGTCTCAAATAACAGGAAATGTATTTTGCTTCCTTATTTTGTAGGAAAAATGCCACCAGTACTGGCCTGCAGAGCGCTCAGCCAGATATCAGTATTTTGTGGTAGATCCAATGGCAGAGTACAACATGCCACAGTATATTCTGAGGGAATTCAAGGTTACAGATGCAAGGGTAAGTAAATAGAGCATTATATTAGTTCACAAAAGTTTAAAAGATAATGTCAAGTTCTTTCTTTTCCTCTCCTTTTATTAGAAAAACCCAAGGGGTGTACTTTCTACAAGTAATACACATAAAGAAGATAAAGTTATTAAATTAATTAGATCTTTGCATAAGAACAGTTGACTTCATTCAGATCTAACATCTAGGCAACAGAACTTTGTAAAGTCCTGAAAAACTATTTGTGCCAAAACACATTAGATGATTTGAGGACCATTTTCCTTTTTTTTCCTTATTTTTCCCTTGATCATTTCTGGGGGCAATTTTTTGTCACCTACAGCTGTAAATATGTTGTTTTGCACCACCCTCTAGTCTGAGTGAGTATGAAGGTTGATACATTGAGATTTAAAAACTGCAGAGCAAATAGCATTTGTAAGAAAAGCTTGACAAGCTTTCACATTATAATTTGATTTTTGGCATAGCATATTTGCAGCACTCTTGTATATCTGCTGAGTAAATACATGCAGCTGTGACCCTAGCATCCTAATTTTCCTACTGTATTTCTTATCTGAATTCTTGAGTCCAAAACTGAGAACTGATATAAGATTAAATATACAGAAACTTTAAGTATATTTTTGGTATTTCTCAGACTTGATTTCTAGGACTTCAGTCTGCATGGAAAGAAAAATTACTGACAACCTCCATTTCTGTAAGAGCTGTAGAATACTATTTATTTAAGTAAAATAGCAGCATGTACTGTCCAGGAATGAGTGATTACTCAGACTTGCCAGGCAGCATCCGAAACAGTAGAATTTCTCATATTAGCTAGACTGCTGCTTTTAATGTAAGCTTCAAGTAAAATTAGATACTACTGACAATTAACTAGACAGTATAGTCCGTAACTGAGTCAGCATATGAATTTTAATTTAGCAGTTGAGACTTAGGTGTGTGTTTTTGGGAAGAAGTGTAGACACTTCTTCTGACTTTCATTCTGTCTGAAGTCTAGTAAGGATCACGACTTACATCTTCTCTAACTTTAACCTATTTGTACTTAACAAAAGTGGAGGTGAACAGGCTCCTAACATCAGTGTTTAACCACACTTATAAGCATAGATAGTCAAAGCCAATTTCACTACAATTGTGCTGACAGTTTTCATAGATCATTTATAAAAAATCTGTTCCATCTCAAGCTGGAAGAACTCTTCTGTGGCACAGTTCACCAAGCTCAAATCACAAAGTAACAATGATAACAAAAAGGTACAGATGTAGTATCTACAAACAGTATGTATTTCCAAAAAGTTCTTTCTAGAGTTTATAGAACTAGGGTATTTATGAAAGTCTCTTTACTTATAGATAGAAAACCAGTAAAAATTCTGAAAGAGTCAAGTAATTTGCCAGAAATAGTTTTACTGAACCTAATACTAATACACTTACTTTAAAAAGCAAACATCCACCTTGACAGTGGCTCTTGCGCCATTTTACCATCACGTATCATTGCTTCTCAAATCTTAAAAATGTCTTTACATTCATGGACCAAATTTTGTTAAACAATGCACTGACAAGCTGGCAGAGCCATCTTACATTTTATAGATGTGCTGGGAAACTATAGCTCCTCCCAAATTTACTGGAAGCAGTGGCGACTACTTACCAAAATGTACATTATAGTTTTCTTGTAGTTAGGCTTTTATGGCTGTTACATCTAGTAATTGAGGCCATCTAACTAAATTGTTGCATTCAAAGAAGAGTAAATGCTGCAGTGGTCACAACCAGCCTCTCCCCCTCTTATCTCAAAACCCATCCCTAATGTTAGAATACCACCCACAATCTGGCAGAGCCAAGCAGGCAAATTACTCACCAGGTACAAGAAAAGAAGCACATTGCCTTTGAGGTGTCAGCAGCACGTTTTGGCATGGAACTCTCTGTTGTTTCTGAAACAAGGTTGTGAATTTTTGTAATGTAAAATTGACCTCTATAACTGTTTCTGTTTATGGCTTCTGACTGCTTTACACGCACTTTCTCTGTAAACTCCAAGGTCAGTATGTTGGGGCAGTCTCATTTAAGGGTAAAATATTAATGATAACTGTTACTATAAATTCTACAACCTCATCAAAAAACAATTGAATATCCCCCATGAAGAACAAGAAAAAATCCAAATGGTCAGCCAATGAATAGGATGATACATTAAAAGAACTCTGCTCCACAGGGAATCTCAAAGTTCATGTTTTCATAACTAACTGTTCAAACTGTCACGAGTAAAGATTTTAATAAAATTCAGCATTTGTATTTGGACTGCTGTTGGCAAACATCTCATTAAAAGAAAGCAGCAGTGTTTATAATGTCAATAGCAGAGGGAACTGTGTTAAGAAATAGCAGATCAGTTCCCAATACGCTTTTATGCTACTCTAACATCAGACTAAGTTTATTTCTGCACTCATTAAATAGCATTAAATAACAGAAAATATTGCCATTAAACCTAGATCAGAACAGTTTTCATAGACTTGCACTGGATTATTGAGTTATGATCATGAAATATACCAACTAAACTGGTATAGACACACCTGAAAAATAAATATTTACTACCAAATCTATTTTGCATATAGAAACTAGCAGTCTTTCCAATGACTGTGTAGAACTAAGTAAAGCAACATCTTTTTTACCTTTTCTATCTCTCAAAAGTTACTGTTACTCTAGCATAATTCCTGTCAGGGTCAGAACTTGCTGGAGAGTTTCTGTTTCCTTAACCAACATGTTGAAGTGAGTAGTCTTAAGGTTTTCTTACTTTACTTCAGAAGTATGTGAGGTTATTTTGAAGAGAAGCAACCTATTGCTTTGTCTTCTTGATTAATTAATGTCATGTGCCTAAGGCTATTTGAAGGATACAATTTCATTATGTCTTCTTTGGGGAAAATAGGATGACAGAGATCATTATGGGAGAAGTCTGCAGTAACAAAATGCCATTTTTATAGGAAATATTTAGTTCTTTTTCTTGATGCCCACAAGAAATAAAATTGGGTAAATGTTTTCGATCAGATATATTTTTTTATCTTTTTTTCAGGCGGGCAAAAACATTCCACAGAAATCAATTACTAAATTGTCTTAGTGGTCTAGTGGGAATATGAGAGACAGAAGGTCAGAGAAGTGTATATGTGTCCTGTTATGGAGCAGTAGCTGGCGCACACACACCTATTTTCTATTTTCCTTATTCATTTGAGATATGGGAGGCAAAAACCCACAATACCAGAGGAAACATAAAAGCTTTGGTTATTTCTAAAATCACTTCTGTTTCATTTCAAAGGTCTGCGATAGCTAAGTGCTTGTGGCGGAGGAAAAAGAAAAACGATTGTTCTTGCCTACACCGTAACTTGTGCTTTTGGGGCGGATCTCCTGTAATAATTTCATTTTTTCAAGAGTTTCACTGAAACTATTTTGAAGACATGGCAAGATGGGTGCTTAGGAAATATGTCCAGAGGCACTAGTTCACATCAGTAGCATGCTTTTATGCCCATGCTTTTAATTTTAGCTGTGCAGTTTGATAGTGTCGAAATCATCAAGAGCAAAGCTTGAAAATTCAGAAGAAATTTACTTAATCCATTTGTACTTTATTTTTTATGTTTATGTGTCCTTACCCTGTACACATTAAATAGGCGTACAGCAGAAGTTGGCATTTAATACTTCCAATGCCTTCATCATAAAAATAACCATGCTGCAATATTCTGCAGTTTTAAACAATCCTGTTAGTATTCCTACCCAAAGGGAATTAACAGCTTCTGCCAGCTTGTTTTGAGAGAGGAAGCCCTTCTCTCGATTTTTTGGAGTCCAAGCTGTTAGTGAATGAAATTACAGTGATTGAAAGGAAGTGGTTGGTTTTATAAACAACTGGCTTGTCTTGACCCATCTTATTCAAGGGTTACATCCCCCTCATAGAAAGTACCATACTATTAAAGATCCTATCTGCAGAGGGCAGTGGCTAAATGAGTCTCATCAGTCTCATTCCTGCCATGCACTAGATGAGCATATATAGGGAATGGAGAGTCAGATAGGAGGCCTTATTCTACCTGCCCCGTATTTAAAGGATTTGCAGTCTATAGATTCAAAACATAACTTACGAAAAAAAAAAATCATATAACCTGGTGAAATTGTTGTGTCTTTAGTCTCAGATATGCTTTTTAAATAGGAAGAATGTCAGACAGCTCTCCTATCTGGTGCAGAACAGAATCAGTGCAATATTGTTAAGGAAGCTGCACTTCTGGACCAGTGTGTCCAAAAGCACCAGCCAGTAGTGTGATTAAAAGCGTCTTCATAAACGTAATCTTAGCCATTCCCACCTCTTCTCAATGTCGTTTGTTTGTGATCGTCTTTTTGATTGTTGGCTGACTGACTTCCAGCCTTGAAACATGGTTTTGGGGTACATTATTTGTGTCTTTTGTTAAAGGATGGCCAGTCCCGAACAGTGAGGCAGTTCCAGTTCACTGACTGGCCAGAACAAGGAGTGCCAAAGTCTGGAGAAGGATTTATTGACTTCATAGGCCAAGTGCATAAGACAAAAGAGCAATTTGGTCAGGATGGACCAATTTCTGTTCATTGCAGGTAAGTAAACAAAGCTTCAACAACTCATCTGCAGATTTTTTTTTTTTCTAAAGTTGATTGCTGATTGTTTTATAGGTGTATATGTAAATGGAATTTCATAGTGAACTATCAGAAAATGTAATCAAATAAATATACAGAGGAACATATAGGACTGCTTTATGAAACAGGAACTGTTCCGTGATACTCAATTTATACAGAAAAGATTCTTCTAAAATATGTGAAAGCACATAATTTTTTCTTCACTTAAAATAGTCTCTAGAGCAGACTATAAACAACCCGATTGATGCTACACACAGAAAGCAGTAGAAGAGCCTTATCACAAGTTTCTGTATCTGATTTTTTTTTTTTTAAGTGAAGCTATTATATTGATGGGAATTATTACCTGTAAACAAGCTAGTTTCACTTCAGTAGCACATTCATAGCAATCAAGATGAGACAAATAAACATGGTGGCTAGCTCAAGAAAGGGAATGGAATAGAAAGCAGTGTTTAGAAACATTTCTTATCAAAAAATCATTGAGACTTGAATTGTTGGTGAGTTCTAACTCCAGAAAGGATGACTTCCCTTAATTCCTTTACAACTGATATGCAGATGAAAAATAGCTTGCAGGGTGTGTAATCCAGGGTGGGCCTTTTTAATATCCTTGTATTCTTTATTTATTTTCTCTACAGTACTCTAGGGTCTATAGCAGATGGCCAAAAATAATATCCTTATCTTCTCTCTCTTAGTTAATAAATTGTTTTCTATAAATTCTATTAGGATTTTAGGTACTCAATTTTGTAACACTGGATTATTTTTGGTAGATGAAATCTTTTTTTTTATGTAACAGAGATGCAATATACTGAATACAGATTCCAAGTTCTTCGTGCAAGCCAAGTAATGCTCCAATACTTCGCATGAAGACAAAATGAACAAGTTTACTAGAGCATATGAATGTACAGAGGGAGAGGGTTTCTTGTTCTTCCAAAGCCAGGAGCAACCAGAAATTGTTAAAACATAAGTGTATTTATTTTGACAAAGTTCCATATGCCCTCTAATCTGAAAGACTGACAAAATAAATATGTTGGACTGCTTGAATCCTACTTCTTTGTGTGTACCTAAAAATTTTTATGGCCTGCTAAGGAGAACAGCATTGCAGAGCAGTGGTTGGGATTCATTTGGCAAGGGAAAATGAAGGACAACCATGATAAGAACAAGCCTTATTCTTCCTGACATTAATGAGTTTTGAGAGCAGAGGAGTAATAAGCAATATTTATGCCTTTATGCAGACATACATAAGAAGGCAAAGTAATGGTATTCTTCCAAGTTCTTTGTACCATGCGAACTTGTCCACTTGTGACTGCAATGAAATACTGCTCACAGTAGGTTATGCCTCCCTTCCAAATGGGTGTGATCTTTCATACTGAAATTATGGAGACTTTTACCATTGACTTTGGTAGAAACAAAGTCAAATACAGTATAATTCATTATGGTTTGGTCTTTAAATATCTTACTATCATTGTAATGACAATTTAGAGATTGGTGATGTGAATTGCCTTTCTTAATGTTAGTCAACTTACATGAATAGGAAATGTCCATAGCAAATTAGTAAGTTTATTTGTTTCTTTCAGGAAGCATAAGATCCTAAGTACCTGCACTTTCCTAGTCTTTGTGGAATTATAGTAATAATGTCTTCAGTTTGTACCATGATGAATTTGTAAGGATTTTTCTTGTTCAGAGAAACTCTACAAATGACAAACTCCCCTAGAGCCACTTTCCGGTGGTTTCCTTCCCACTCTACACATTTTTCACAAGTTTTCATTCTGTTATACAGTAAACCCCTGCCACCCACAATTTTAAAATGTTCTCCTTCTCTGCCATTTTTACAAATAGATCAGTGTGTCACAATTTAAAAATATCTATCCTCATCAGGCAGTTAATTAAAAAATAGTTAAAAGAGCATTTACCTTGAAGCAAAATTTTAACTTCAGACAATTTTGGATATTTATAGTCTTTTTATTCCAGCTTTTAGCTGGTAAGTAAGGAAGACCTCCCTTTCCCAGCATGCATTCTGGATTACTTTTTAACAATAAACTCTTCTCTCTTACAAAAACATCAATACTTCCTTATGGCTCGTTAAAGCACCCTAGCTTTGGTTTCTAACTGTTTAAACTTCAGTGACTCATACTACATGAAATAGTGCCTTCACCACTTTCTGAATTCAGGATCTTTAAAACCTATGTTGCATTGATTCGTTAAATGTAGTGGTCAGTTTGGTCTTTGGCTTGAAAATCAGCTGATTGTTTTGCTGTTAGTAATGTGGACTTCCATCACTCTTCAGAAATCCTGAGCATCTTCTAAAATGAATTTGTACAACATTAAAACATACTTGCCACTTTCAGGGGAACAGGGTCACTTTCCTACAGACTTTACCAAAATATTACATTTGATGGCTAGGTAGGATTTGCAAGCATTGAGGTCTTTCCATGTTTCTCCAGAGACTTTCTTATGAACACAAGACAGCAGAACATTTCCCTCCTTTTGCTGAATTAAAGAGTTTTGAGTAGCTTTTTTTTT